AACATTGCCAAACAGGTTTCATTGGATCAATTTGGTCTTGTGTATGGGAACTGCTGAATCACAGCCTGAACCTCTGATTGACCACCTGAGGCGAGCACTGAGTCAGCCCTGGGAGCACAGGTGAAGGCAATTCAGCTGTGCTATGGGAAGGAATGGAGCCAGGCTGCACCTCTCCTAGACCCCATTTAAGAGCTGAGTGCCAGCAGGGAAGGGTCTCTTTTGGAGATTGGTCTTCTAGAAGTCTTTTCAGTGAGCCCAGGACAAGGGTAAGCTTTCTAACCATTCTTCTTTGGGATGATAACTTGTTTAGCCCAACTTTCTTGTATATTTCTTAATTATAACATCTTTATTTTCGTTGATTATACATCTTGGAAACGGAAGACTTTGACTAAAACGAAAACTGATTTAACACTCTATTATTCATTGAAGAGAATGTAACGTTGCCTTTTGGGGCAGTTCAGTGGTCATAACCTACAAAGATTGATATGCTTGTATTAGTGTTTTGAAGGAAATACTGATAGCACATACCCTAATTTACTAAAGTATTTCACCCTGGAGTGAGAAGATAATTCACTTAAGAAATCTGCCATAAATATTTCGGTAATTTATGCAGAGACTTCGTAATACAGATGAGACCATTGGTTTCTTCTTCAATTCAAGCAGCTTACCATGGCAGTTATTGAATAACTTGTGCTGAGGATATTTGTAAGAATAGATAACAATAAATTATTTATTTCCAGAGAGTGCAGCCTGAGTGTACGCAATGTCAAGTGATTTGTCAGGCTATAGAGATAACTGAGTGCTGAAATGAGTACAAATGTGGTGTATAGGGCAGATAAGGGAATGTTAGAACACCATTACTTCATGCTTTGGTGTGCTAATTCTGGGATTAAAGATACAATTGAAGGGAAAAAAAAGCCAACACTGAAATTCAGGTACAGAGAGATTAAAAAGTACTTTTATTTGTGTCTACAATTTAATTTTTCTGGATGTAGTAATAATATGGTATAGTGGTTGCCTTCTTTTTATAAAAATACAAAGAATTGCTTTTAAAAAAAAAAAAAAATCATCTGTGGTGCCAGAAAGATACAAAACCTAGTGCTTTCCATAGGAGGGACCACGCTGGGATAAAGGAGAAATAAACTCCAGTCTTAAATACATAAATTCTCATTGTTATAGTTGTGTCTCTAGCATTGTAGAACGTAGCTGAGCTGCTTGCAGCATGCCCTTGCATTTTGGCTTGGAAACTTGCATGCCTGTCCATCTCTTGTAAGCTGTCCTCACTCCTTCAGTGGCAGTGGTAGACATCAGAAGAAAGACAGGTGACTCTTCTGAAACGTTGCTGAAAAACCTTCATTGCTATGAATGCATCTACTCTGCAGTCCCTGGAACATCTGCAGCTAATGCAGGCTTACCCAAATTAACTTCAAACTTGCTGCCTGGGGACTGCTAGCAAAGCAGCCATGGCAACACAAGCAGAGGTGGGGAAAGCCTACCTGCTGGTGTGGGAAAACAATCAGAATTGGTGTTAACCCCCACACAGATTGCTGCTGCCCTGGCTGCCCTGCTCAGGCTTAAAGTCAGCTGATGGGGGTGTTCACCAATTCATGTCTGCGTAGGATAGATGAGCTCCATGTGACGCACGGTGGGGTGGAGCTGGATTGTTTTCTTCCATTGGTGATGTGAGAGATGCTGCTGTAAAATGTGCGTCTTGATGGCACGAAGCTCTTCTGTCATATTTAGCTTCATGTTCTGACAACGGTGTTCACTGGTAGTGCCAAAAATGAAACTCTTCGTGCTGAACCAACGCAAGTGTAAACGAGTGAGTGGGATTTGGCCATCTGAGCATGAAGGAGGTTGCCTGCTGCATCTTAGTCATACAGACTATCCCTGAAAAGTGCCATTCTATTTAAAGCACTAATGCTGGTAATGATGATTGGATCATCATCTTAAAATCACAGTATCCCAAAACATCCCAAGATGGATGGACCCTCAAGGGTCATCGAGTCCAACCCCCAGCTCCATACTGACCACCCAAAATCCAGACCTTATGTCTGGAAGTGGTATTCTAATGCTCCTTGAACTCCAGCAGCTTGGATCTGTTCTCACTGCCCTGGGCAGCCTGTTCCATGCCTGTCTGCTTCCTTTGAGCAGCTGCAGCTGCCATCAGGCCTCCCCTTGGCCTCCTCTGCCCTGGGCTGTACCTCAGTGGGACCTCAGCTGCTCCTTGTATGTCTTGCCCTCTGCATCTTTCTCCATCTTCTTAGTCCCCATCTTCTTTGAATACTTCGTAATATATTTTTGTCTTTCTTTTGTTGGGGCTCCCAGACCTGCATGCAATGCTCAAGGTGAGGCAGCACAGCACTGAGCAGAGGGGAAAATCTCTTCCCTTACCTGGAGGCAGTGCTGAGCCTGATGCACCCCAGCTGGCAATAAGCCACATAACGAGCTTTAAAAGAAGGAGCATGAAGGCTGTGGAGTAGAAAGGATAGGGTTATGAGTAACTGTTATCCAGGCTGTGGGAGTAGATCAGTTATTTTTTCATATGCATCTGTGCATGCCTGTTTCTTTCCATGAGCATCACAGAAGGAATCATTTTTCACTTAGGAAAGCAAAGTCAAGAGGTTCTAGGGACATAGAAACCTTCCTGAGTATAGCAGATCAAGCTGCTGTACAGCTGCCCTCCACCAAGACCCTCCAGCTACAAGAGACCCTCCTCTAATGGTACAAATTGCAAGAAAAATCCCTGAAGCTGCTGATGCTGAGAGGAAGAGCTTTGTGTTGGCAGCCCCTTGTTTCTTCTTTCTCTGCAGTATTCCTTGTGATAATCAATAGTACCATTTAGCTTTTTTGTTCTGCAAAGTGCTCCTTTCAGCAAGCCGGCCTTATTTCCTCATCCAGATGATTCTGATGTCACACCAGCATCTCATGATGTCTGGGCAGGGATCCTCACATCAACCTGATGGAGCCCATGAAGGCACACCAACTCTGATGCTCAGGAACAGATCAGTGATGACAGATGGCAAGAGGCTTTCTGGGCTTTCAAATTGCAATGCCAGCTGCATCGTGTCATTTTAGCTATGTCCCTTTAACTTAGAATATTGGTTTATTTGGATAATAACTCTCTGCATGCAATGTATTTTCTAGTTCAATGTATTGGATCATGAGTTTCTTGTCCAAAGCAGAATATGCAAGAAAAGTAGCACGTGTGACTATTTTAAAATGTTGATTAACCTTCAAACTTGGTTCTGACCCAGAGGTTTGGGAAATATATTCCTCAGTGTTTAATAAGCCCTACGCTGTCACAACAGATTTATCAGTGTGTCAAGCGGGCTCCTTCTTTCAGATTCATTTGTTTGTTTCTTTGACTCCCAAAGGCTGTCACATTGGGAGACATTAATTAACAGACTGGCTATTTCAAAGGCATGATGCTGGCAGGAGCTGGCTGTAAAGGCTGATGTCTTTGACCAGGGCCAATCCGGCATCAACTTCTGCTTTGAATTAAGCTACCTGCTTGTGCTGCTGACACGTCCTGCTCAGCTGCAGCCCTTTTTGGGTTGCTAAACCTTCTGGAGGGGTTTCAGAGTCAGGTGACTGTGGAAACCATCTTCTTCTTCTCAAGACAATGCAAATAGCATACAGCATCCACCGTGAGCTGTTACCAGCTTCATGGAGTTGAGCTTTAATCTTTATCTGCTAATACTTGGTATTTTCTAGTTGATTCACTGAAGAGTAAAATTAATTTTTTTTATAAAAACTTTCTCAAATGGAAAGGCACACATACATAACAGTAGCAGAGGGTTGCATCGGCCCTCCACAGCCAAAAATTAAAGTACTTGCTTGTTTTCTCTGGACTTGGAGCTCCTCCTGTGATGCTAAAGCCAGGAAGGCTCCAAAGCATCTACAGCTGTGTAAGTGCTTGCGGTTGCTGTACAGGAGCACGGCGATTAACCCCATTTTGTACTGCCTTGGGTGGCTGCATGTGCTGCAAACAGGAAAAGAAAAACACAACTGAGCCTCCCAAACCCTGTGCCTTAGCAGTGACATGTTCATCACAGTTGCCATTTGACATTCTTCGCAACAGAGAGGCACGTTGTTGAGAACAATAACTGCAAAAGCACCATAGTGATATTCCCAGGCTCTGCAGTTTCACAGGAGCATTTTATACCACTCTTGTGGAATTCTGACCGTTAGGAATTTCACCGTGGGAGACTTTAAACAGAAAATCCGTATCCAATTTGGTAGCACTTTATTATATCATCAGTTACTTAAAGCATGCTTTATTTATCGTGTGATTCCATACTGTTCCCATTTCAGGAACAGCGTTTTAAAATGGGAATTTTTCTAAGCGTGTGAGTTGTTAAAGCGTGCTGTAGTTTATCCTATCTTTTTCCATGGGAATATAAAAAGGAGGCAGTGTATTTTACATTATTGTGCTCTTGCAGTGAGTTTACTAGTCTCCATGAAGAATGTCTTGATGAAATTAAATAGGTGGAAAAAAAATTCATGGAGTGTGCAAATGAAACAGCCAGGAAAAAATCCATTTATGCAAGACTCACACTGGGAGGCTGATGAGCTTTGACAATTGGAATAAATTATTTTGGCTGGAAGGAGATTCCATCTTTTCAAGACAGGACAGCGTGAACCTTGCAGTAGTTTTCTGTGTGCAACAGAACAAAATAGCTTGATGGGAGCACCCAGGTAATCTTGTCCAGAGTGACCTTCTACCTGTGCCATGTAAGCATGCTCCCCTGCAGTGTGTGCTTCCTACCAGTTCAGGCCACGTGACTGCAGCTGATGAAGTGATGTTCTTTGGCTGAGCAGCACAGCTATTGCTGCTGGCTGGCGTGTGGTGCATGACGAAAGGCACAGCAATAGCCTAAGTCTGAACAGCTCTACTCTGAAAGTCCCAAGTGAGGGCCCATAGCTAAGCAGAATGCCTGGTTACTAAAGAGAGGGCTCTCTCCCCAAGACCTCCTGTGCAAATCTGGCTATTTCCTTTTTTTAAATTGTTTTTTACCTTCTGCTGCATTGACTAGCAATGCTACTTTCCTTTCAGCTAATGGCCTTTTGTTTAGATTGACTCTGCCTTGCTGAAAATATTCTCTTGCTGTGTATTGTACACGGCCTTAAGGCACTACTGTGATGCACACAAAGACTTTTTATAATTAAGAATAGTTGTGGTCATAGACGATAGTAATAACCATATCTGTCATCCTGTAGTCTCAACATTTCTTGAGGTGGTCTGCCTCTGATTTTTGGTGCTTGATGTTCCCCATCATTTACGCTGGTTTTACTGTGTAATTATTTTGCTTTACTCTCAGAGGAGAGTTGAACTCCCTTTATGTGTGCATTCCCCCCTTTAATGTTACTCCTTCCTTAAAATAACCAAACAGTTCCTTCCTCAGATCCAAACTCTGCAGAAGAATCTGCAGGAAGGGTGGTGTATTCTAAAATGGTACATTTATTAGTTTGGAGTCAGGTGTACACACACATACATGTCCATGCATAGTACAGTAGCATTCTTAGGAGTAAGAAAATGTATTGTCAGCATTTACTGCCTTAATGGTACTCTCCTTTTCCATTTTTAATACTATTGTCTGACAAGCATTTTTGAAGTACATCAACATTTTACTGTTGTTTTTTTTTCCCAGCCTCCTGCAAAATAAGCCATCCCCTCCCATGACATTGAGTCAGCTATGTGGGCCATAGGCTGGAGCCACAGGCTGGAGAAAGTCCTTCAGTTGCACATTCAGAACAAACGTTGTGATGTGTAATGTAGTCAATGGCTCCTCCTTTTTAAAGAAAAACAGTGATTAGTTAGTATTATTTTACCAGGCTGTTAGTACTAGCAACGTTCTATTGCAGTTCTAGTTAATTACTAGTTAATTACTAGTAGAGAAATGACTCTCATAAACGGGGTAACAGAAAGTATGAACGTATTTTCTGAGGTTAGCTCAATACTTGAGATAGGAATGCTAGATTAGGTGATACAAACTCTCATTTATAGGACAATAAATCCACACCAGTGCAGATGCAATCATTGAGGTCTGGCTTGTATGCAAGAAATTAAAAGTAAATTCAATTAATTTATCTTAATCACAGTTAGCTTGCTACCTTCTTCAGATGTAGGAAGCCTAGCCTCAAAAGAAAAGCTTCCAGGAGCCTGGGAAGAGTGATGATTTCCATCCATTTCACTTTGCTGCTGTTCCATGGGATGCTGTTGCAAATGATTATCCGTAGGTATCACACAGTTGTTTGTCAACAACACCAAACTGTCTGCTGTCCTAATGAGGTGGTGTATTGAGATGAGTTGTAATTAACATAAACAGAAAGTAATCAAGTGATGAATGGAGAAAGTGTCCCTTCAAAACGTAACGTTCTGGACCATGGCTTTTTAAGCTGATGCACTGTGCTGTGTATGCTGACCTGTGATGAAGGAAGCTAGACATTTAAAAGTGCTGAGAACCCAGCTATCTGCATGCATCTTTGCTCTGCATACATCTTGTTCGGGCAGTGCAATTAGCAAGCAGTAAGGTGAGCCTCAGGTTAAATGGCAACCAAATAGACACTGAGAATGGCCAGCAGTTAATCTCTGTAACTTTCCTCTGTAACATAAATGAAGTTTCAGTAGAAACAAGCAGCGTAATTTGCATTGTTTTTGGTCATTGGTAGAAAATGCATTGTAAGCTCTGCAATTAAATCCTGTATTTGAAGCAATCAAGCAATTAGAAAAAAGCTGTTTTCTGTGCGTTTACTGAGATGTAGCTCTAGTCCTAACTGTGGAATTAAGTGCCTCGTGAGAACTGCCTGTTTTCTTTACTATTTTATTTTTTTTCTGCCGTAAAAACTTGACATTACCACTGCCTTCTATCACACCCAGGAGGCTGTGTATCACTGGGAGGACATGCCCATGCAGAGGTGAGAATAAAAATACCTCTTATCTGTACTGTGAACTAGTTCTGGGGCTGAGCCACTGGAGGGGTTCTTGGGAGCTAAAAATAAGCTTTGGTTGAGCACAGCTCTGCGCATCTCTGCGATAACTCCAGCGGGCCACTTCTTGACAGAACTATTTTCTCGGAAATTATTGATGTCAAACAACTTAACAGGGAACCCAAAGGACATTTCTGTTGCTTAAGGTTCATAAAGATAAGGGTGAGATCTGATGTCTCACAGAATGGTCTTTTAATTGTAGTTCCTAGTTTTGATAGGTTTTCTAAAAGAATGGTATAAAATGCCTGCAGTGGGTTATTGAACAAAAGTATCTTCATACCTGAGGGATATTTTCAGAACAAGGGAGTTACCATCTCATCTTGGGCAATTCCAGCTGTTCTACCAACTGAATTTATTTTTTAATTTTGCTAACTGCTCAATCACCACAGCGTAATTTCTGCAACATCATAACTTGTCTTTCACTTATTTGTGTCAAAAACAAATTTTCTAACATTTGCTGAAACCATTTTGGTTGATATCTTGGCTCTGTCTGGGCTGATATCTTTATATCTTTTTTTTTTCTGTTCTTTTTATAAAGCATAATGGAATGCTTGATTGATCTGTGTTTAATTTCTTACTGTAGCTTAAGCTTTTATTGTCCTAGTGACATAAGCTGTGACAAAATGATCAGGTGATTGAAGTAACATAACCAGTGTTTAAACCCTAAACATGCACATCTGTATTCTTAAAAGAAATACTATGTTTTGAGTGGCTTTTTGTCTCATTTTTAGAAATGTGCATGCTCACAAAATAAAATACCCATCTTGAAGCTATTTATAAATTAATCTATGACTTAATTTTCTTACCTGAGGACAAATAAAACCATATTACATTGCCAGCTCCTTATGAAGTGGTTATGCCTGTGACTAGTGGTCTCCATACACGTCTGCACACCTTCTGGTATTACCACAGGGCTCAGAAGGGTAGCATGCAGGGGGAAGAAACAAAATGGCAGTTTCACTTACTTGCTTGGTGACTGCAGTGCATTGCACTGCTGTGTTCTGGGTGGCAGTGCATGGAGCAAAAGGGCTGTCTTGTTGTGTTATGTTTCTCAAGAGGCCGGTAGCCATTCCAGTCACCCATGCCCTGCTGAGCACTCTGAAACTGGGCATGCCCCCAAGAGAAAGGGGTGGCACACAGCCCGTCCCCTTCCCAGCATGGGCTGCAGGCCCAGCTAGTCTCCAAGCCAAAGTTGGGCCAACAGCAGTGTGGTTGCTGCAGCCCTACTGGGTGGTCATGGAGCTCCTGGCCTTCAAGCCCTGTGGGGAGGATGGAGGAGATTCCACAGCTTTGAGTCCAGACAAAGTGAGGTAGGTAGGAGAGATCTATTCCTGTTCTGTGGGATATTAAGGAAGGCTGTTCAAAAAGGAATTTGACTGAAAGCTAAGAATTAATCTGTTCTGCTGTTGTTGAAAGCATCTTTGCAAAGGTTGTTTAAATGCTACCCTCAGTCCTATCAGAGGTCACAAGACATGTAATGGTATGTCAGTAAAGCTGCTGTCACAATGTAGTACTGCTTTCAGGACTTCCCATCTCTAACTGTTTGATCTTCAGCAGCTACCTTTGCCCAGGCGTGTTATAAAAGGGAGTTGTGTCCTAGGTTCTTTGACTTTGTCAAGATATCAGTTTTGCAGTAGGCTCAAGTCCTGAAAAGATCACCTGATTTTTCCCATGTTTCCAGGGTAGATAGAGTAGGCTTGTCTCTTATGGATAGTTTTTACAAATGAAATGCTAAAACAAGAATGTGCTGCCTCCATGTTGAGATGGTCACTACACAGGCCATTTCCCATGGCCCGGTATTTGTCCACTACTATTCCTGCTTGAAGTACTGCCTCAGCGCTCAGTTCCTAAATGGTAGAAACAAATTCCTACTGAAGATAATGCTGAGTGCAGCCATCAGAAATATTTGAGCATGCATATACAAATGTATTGCTATCAGTGGTAAATATTAACCTTGCTTTCCAGTCTGACAATATTTTGTGGACTGTGCGCTGCTCCTCACTGGCGTGCTTTGGGATTCTGGAGATGTGAAACCACCGTGGTGCTTGCTGGTGATTGGTGATAGCTGAGTAAAAACAGCTAGCTGTGAAGAAATTGTTTCTGTTGTACAGAAAAAGGGCCCCAGTCACAAGTGAGAGAAAAATGAGTAACAGAAGTGCATCCTGGATGTCAGTAGAGAGTGGTCTGTGATATTCTTATCGGCTTGTGTTTTCCTTTAAACATTTGGCTGTGTGGTTTATGAACTCAGAGGATCCTAGATGGAAAGCTTATTAGAAAACTCCCGTACCTCAGCAGATCGTGGTCCATCAGCATATGAAATCCTACATCTTCGTCAGCCCCAAAGGGCTTTTCTTTATTAACAGTGAGTGATGCATTTCTCACAGGTGACAGAATGGATGCAAGGCTTAAAGAGGAGTCGCGCTGATTAAGAGCTGACCTGAAGAATGGGTGTAAGGTTCATATTTCAAACATAGATGTCAGTGTGGAAAAGGAATAAGAACACGATGAGAATAAAAAACAAGGCTATGCTCAAGGCTGGCGCTGCTGATGGAACAGATGGAAAAGGTGGCAGATGAAAAAGCGAGGATCAAGGCTGACTGTTGCAGTCTAAAGGAAAATATACAACACATTTGAATTAGCTGTACTCCACTAGGGAAATGTGGACAGTAATATCAAAATAACATGAGAGGAAAAAAGATTGTAATGGCAATGTTTTGGAGAAACAGATGGAAAGCCAGGCAAGGATAAAGACAGCAAGAAAGAAGAGAGGTGAAATGTAAGCAGAAAATAATCACAACAAGAATAAGAAATGTATTCCCTGGGACTGAGACGAAGCAATGGACACTTTTTATCCCACTGGAAGGAATGGGAAGGTCTTGGCACTTCTAAAGAGAAGGCTTTCCAGACAAGAGCTATAGGTTTTGTATGCATAGTCCAATCTGAAAGAGTTCCTCTATTTTTTCTCTGGAGTCTCAATAATGCCATTTGCTATAATCTCAGTAGGAAAAACTGAAGTAATCCGTAGTGGATTTTCTACACACATAGATGGCTCTACACGTATGGGATTTCATCTGCAAAATAAATTTAACATTTCTTGCAAATAGCAAGCATGGAAGTAGCTCACATAAATATAATGAATAATAATAAATCCCAATTCACTATAAATTCCTCATATTTGTTCAGCTAAGCAAGTAACAGTGAAAGCTATGCAGCAAAAGGAGTTGAAGTTTCCTGATTATCACTGATTATTTCACATTATTTATACCACTGGAAAGAGAGGTCTACTTTCACTGTCAGAATTGCATCATAGGAGTTAGCATAAGCTATTTCTTAGTGCCAATCATCACCGAGGTGATGTACTGTTAATGAGAACAGGACATGTTTGTTAATCAGCAGAGGAAGCAGAATGAGCACGGGAGATCAGGATGTACTTTTTATTTTTAAAAGGACTCTTGAGATACAGCGTGAGCATATGGGACTAAACAATTTAAGGAAGATTCGGAACTCAAAACTTTTGTTGGTATTTGCAGAGGTTTTTCAGATCTCAAAAATTCCAAAGACAACAATTTTTGTGTAGGGAAGTAATTCTCGGCCAGCCGTACAATCAAAGGGTTCGTATGTTTCTGCAGCATTTTGGCAACCTGCAAAAATGGCATGCTCAAATCATTTTTTTTTCTAATAAACATTTTTAATGTGAAAATTATCCTAGGCATGTAAAACAAACAAGGCAAGGCCAGATGGGGCCACCATAACTGTTTAACCTGAGCTGTTGCCAAGCATCTACTTTGCACACTGACGTATGTACTCCACAGCCATTGCTGACAGGTAAGTGAGCACTGCATGTTTCTGACTTTGAGGCTGAAATTTCCCCTTCTTGAGTAATTCCCAAGCTTCTGTCTATGCCTTCTGTGCACCTGCTGAAACATGAACGCTTCCTTGATCTGCGGCCCCTGTCTCAGCCGGGTCTGTGCCAGGATGAATCACTGAGGATACGTGTTCCAGATAAACTCTTATTTATTTTGGACTAGTACTTAGCTTAGCCCTTTTAGCTTCCTCACCAGCCTGTGCTGTGTGTTCAGATTATCATCTATTGGAATCTACTAGATCAAATACAGCCATTATCATATCCCCCACTCTTTGCAATAGGTAGTAAATCTCTCCCAGACCTTCTATGAAATCAGGATGAGGTACTTAGCCTTTTTAGGAGGTTGACATCTTATTATTGGATATCTGGCCTCCTGTCATCTGTCTTTGTTTTCATTGTTATTGCACAGCTATGTTCCTTTCCACAAGTGATTGATGCTTATTATTAACAGTTCCCTTGTTGATGCTTTGTTCAGATTCTGAACTAATGCATTTTTATATGAGCTTTTATTGTGGATTTAGAAGAATGCATGTGAAAGTATCATCTGATTTTACTTACCTCTTGCTGGATTCTTTTGCTTTTCTGGTGAAAAAAATTATTGAATATGATTTCCCGTAATGTGGTCTGACTTTTATTTTATGTGCAACGTTAATGAGTATGTCTATTCTTAGTACATGATCATAAATTATTATCAACTGTAAATTCCTTTTTTATCCATTGCCCACTTGTATCTTTTCAATTAGCATAGGACTTTAAAAAAAAAAACGGACTATTGAAGAAAGCTTTATTTTTTCATGAGCATTTTTCCTTGTTAATAAATTCTGGTTAAACTGTTTTCTTGCTGATTCACTAGCCCATGCTGTCCTTTTGGAGTTACTCATCTCAGTTGAAAACTTCTATTTTCTGGTATCCCAGCATATGGCCACGTAACTACCAAGTTGACATTCTTTTTTTCTGCATGTTCTGACATGGCAATATAAACCTGGGGCATTAAACACGTATGTGGACACACACATGCAGTTATTTAATGGAAACAGCAAGTCAGCTGCCAGACTGGTATCAGCTGTGACTGATTACTCACCACAGATAAGCTGTACAAAACAAACAAACAAAAAAAACACCCAGCTGTAATTGGTAAATAAGTTCCTACTGTAGTCACTTTTACAGACCTAACTGCTACCTGATGTTCTGTAGGTCTCAGATTTGACTCAGGTGAGTTTGCCTGCCATGTAGTGCCTGCTGCAGCGGGATCCAGACTCAGTTTGGCATTGGTATGCAGTCTAGGAGAAATAATTAAATCATATTTTACTACCTAACCAGCTAAAACATATATCACCATGAATTATTCTAACAATTTCTGACAAAGGTCTCGATGCGCATGTGGAATAGTGCTGTTCTCTAAAATACAACACAATGAACAAAAAAACTCCAACCCAGCTGAGAGGTTTAAATCCTTTCCATACCTGTAATGGCAATTAGTTCAAAGAGTGGGAGTTTTGTAGATTTCAGCTGGCACCATTCTAGCTATGTTTTAAGGAATACTTAAGTTCATTATGCAGCTAGAATGTGAATTGGCATAAACGTGGGTTTTTTTTTCCTTTTCTTATAAAATATTAAAATACAATATTCCAGCCATGATCTTTGCTGTATTTTAACCTCATTTGGTATGCATGAGGGGACTCTTCCTTACCCAGACTTGGATGAAAGGAGCTTATGCTTCTGCTCGAACTGCGCTCCTGTTAAAGGAGATTGGCAACCCGACATCAAAGCATGTATTAAATGTGAATACCTGTACATTTAATTGCCTGACTGTCTAAATGCAAGCCGTTCTCTGCCAGCCACCACAGCAGCACGGCTTGTCTTTATTAGGATCATCACACTCTCAGGAGAGAGAGAGAGATAATGACAGAAGCGCAGACAGAAATTGGTACCAAATTGGTACCAGGTGAAACGACTCGAGTGAAACTAAATTAGCGGTGGGCAGAGGGCCTCAAAGCGCCTGTTTCCCGTGTGTTCAGGCTCTGCACTCGTACAGACATCCGAGTGCCTGGAGCTTTGAGACCTTCCCCGCCTGTGCAGAGGCTCAGGACGATTCAATGGCAGCGACGAGAAGGAAAAAAGAGAAACCGCTGTCCGCGGTGCTGAAGGCCGCGGCCGGCCCTCGCCGTGCCCGCGCTCGGAGGGGCGGGGCTGCGGGGCGCGCGCTCCCGCGAGTCTCCCTGCCCGCGCAGGCGCGCCGCCGGCGGAGGGAGCGCGTGTGAGGGCAGGGCCGGCCCGGGAGCGCTCAGCAGCGGGAGCGCAGCGGCGCCGCCGCCGACGGCACGCGGCCACCCGCCCCCCGCTTATTTCCGGAGCCGGGACGAAGAGTAGAGCGGCGGCGGCGGCTCGGGAACGGCGTCTCCCGCTCGCGGTGCCCGGCCTCCGCCTCGCCTCCTTGCGCAGGGTCGGCTCGCAGCCCCCGGCCGCTCGCCCAGGAGCGCGGAGGATCTGAGGAAGGAAGGAAGGAAAGAAGGAAGGGCCGTTTCTGTGGCTTTGTGGATGCTCTCCTTTTCCTGGAAATGCAAAAGATTATGCATATTTCTGTCTGCCTGGCTCCCGTGTTGTGGGGACTGATCTGGGGGGCCCATTCCAACAGCATACAGATCGGTAGGTGCCCGCGGCCGCCCCCCGCGCCCCCCGCCCCGTGCCCTGCCGGCCCCTCCGCCTGACGCGTGTGTTTGCCTGCAGGGGGGCTGTTCCCGAGGGGCGCCGACCAGGAGTACAGCGCGTTCCGGGTGGGCATGGTGCAGTTCTCCACCTCCGAGTTCAGGCTCACTCCCCACATCGACAACCTGGAGGTCGCCAACAGCTTCGCCGTCACCAACGCCTGTGAGTACCGGGGCGGGAGGGGCCGCCGGCGCCGAACGGCTGCGGCAGCGCCCGGCCCGGCCCCGGTGAAGGTGGGCGCCGGGTCTCCGTGCGCCCCCCGGCGCCGGCGGAGCCTTAAGATGGAAGCCCGCCGCCCCCGCCGGAGCGCCGTCAGCCATCTTACCGCTCCGCGTCGCAGCCCGGCACCGAGGCCCCGCGCGGAGCGGAGCGGTGCGGGAGAGCGGTGCGGGTCTGCCCCGGCCCCGCCTCGGGCGCGGCCGCACGCGTGCAGCGGGGAGCGGAGCACGTGCGTGGCCCCGGGGAGCGAAGGGCGAGGGGAGGAGGGGGGCGGGGGGCGTGCGGCTTGCCGCCCTCGGGGCCGGAGGCGGTCCGCCTTTCCCCGCTTCCAGCGGCGGCGCGCTCGGCGAGGAGCTCGCTCCTTTCCGGGCGCTGCAGGGCGAGTTTCCCTGTCCTCGTACGGGGTGCTGAAGCCGGAGGTCGGCTGCCAACCTGAGCGTTTTCCTGTTTTATCGCACCTCCGGCTCAGCTACTACGGTGCTGGCTCGGCGCACGCTGGGATAGGCGGTGCGGGAGCTCATCCCGAGGAGCATACGTGGGGATGTAAGGGTACACGGAGCAGACGTCCAAAAGGTGGAAGCGTGCAGCAGCCCCAGCAGGGCTGTGACCTTTGCGAGCTGCTGGAGAAGCTCGACCACCCACTGGGGGAAGGTCTGCATGTGGGGAGACTTTGCAGTGTGCATCCCTAAGACCCTCAGTGACATAAAGTGTGGTGTGGTGTTCGAGGTGGCGTTCTGTGTAACTGTGATGGCTCTGGTGTGTTCCTTCAGTGCTGTGAAATTGCTGAAATGCATAAAACGTGAGAAAAGGTTTTCCTGCTAGTACTGAAGACAGATCTGTCCTGCCTCCTCCATGTCATGTGTGCCAGAGATTGTGTCTGTAGGAAAGTTAAGGAGCCCCCAGTGTGTCCATGCACCTGCTCTGTTCCTGACCTGTGCCGCCTGCTGTGGGTGGCTCTGCTGTGTGCATGTGCTGTAGGGTTACAGGCAGGAGGGAGGCGTGGGCTGTCCTCTGTCTGAGCCCCAAGGCTTCCATCATGCGGAGCACAGAGCTCACACGTGAGCTCCTCAGGCACCTCAGCTGCTGCTGATGGCTGAGCGAGGTTACCTCGGCTGTGGGTTTTGGCTGACAAGTGAACCATATGCTGAAAGTATGGCAGTATTCCCTCGGTTGCCTTCCAACCGAGTGGTTGGAGGGAAAGGAATGCTGAGGACAACAAGCAAAATTGAGCAGGTGATGAATTTTCAGAGCGCTGCGTGCAGGAACGGTTAAGGAGGCTCCATGTTATTCCTCTCCTTTTTCTCTCTTCCCTTGGAGCTCTTGTTGAAAAACTGGCCGGTTGTTATTTCAAGAGCAGTGCGTGAGGAGCCTGCCCTCAAACCCAGCAGAGCCAACGTAGAAGGGCAGAGAAACGCAGAAAAGCGTGAAGTGAGAACACCTCAGTGAGAACGCCTCGCTGTTTCACTCCAGCGAGCGATTTTCCCTAAGCGGCAGCAGGGCTTCCACGTTGGCAGAGGCGGTGCCCTCTTTCTGCCCGAAGGAAGCGCTGAGCTCAGCCGTGCGGCGCTCCCACGAGGCCGGGCCCGCGGCCAGCAGGTGGCAGCCGGCGGCCACCCGGGGCCCCACCGCCCCCCTTCTGGCCGTGCTGCCCTCCGCCTGGGAATAACCGAGGGAAAAAGAAAGGAACAGTGCGGCTATCCACAGGAGGCTTCCGGCCTGTAGTGTTAGCTCATCTACGGAGCAAAGGGTTTGTGTTGCCGGGATTGCTGCTGGATCGGGGTTTTAAACTTGCGTAGAAGAGGGGGCAGTGCTGGTGCACGGCTAAGGGATGTTTGCACCTGTGTAAGAACACCGAGCCACTGAAGGCTGCCCAGAAACATGGCAGAGGAGGGCAGGTGCTCTGCTTCTCGGTGCTGTATGGTTGCTGTAGCTCATGCAATAAGGCAGTCATGTTGAGCCGTCGGACTGTCACAGGGCTGTGCTGCCAGGTCATCAGGAGTCACTGCTGTCATCTAATAGCAGTTTGACACCTCGCAGGGCAGCAGCACCTGGGGGTTTTATGTTTTTTGAGGGAGGGATGGATCTTTCTGCAGGCTGATGGCACAATGAGAAGAGCCTTTGGCTGCTGTGACCGTAATTACATTCTTCCAGAGCAATGGGTTGCACTTACCCCTCTTTGAGAACTGATGGTGATTCAGAGGGTGGCAAGCTAGGTTTGTTAGCAAGGCAGCTCACTCTGTCAGAACCTCCCTGGGTGGCACCAGCTGGGGCAGAGGTACAGCAAGCACTGCAGGTCATTCATGGGGATTTGGGTGGTGTCCAAAAATCGGACTTTATTGTCCTTCAGCCAAGTGTAATTGAGCCTAAGCTAACTGGAGAAGTGCTGATGATCGGCAGCATCAGATTTTCATTAAAAAAAAAATGTTAATTCTATCAAAAGAATAAAACTAGTGAAGATGACATCCTTTCCTCTTAAACCATCCAACCTGAATGGGGGTAGTTGTATTACATCTGCGTGTATTTTTAGACTGAAAGGATATTGGAGTCACCTAAACAGAAGTCTCCTGTGGACTACTATAAAACCTTCATAACCCTAACAAGGTTTTCATACAGTGGTTCCAGCACAGGGGTAATGTATGAATGATCTGAGATGTTTCATTCTGCTGGCTCAAGAGCCAGTGCTGTTTTTCTGTCTTAAATGAAGGCTTACAGCTCTGCAGGGATCACTGCACCATGACATTGTGACAAGGGGATGCTGATTCATGCATAAACCTTAGACCCTTTCATTGTATCTTCAGCAGCTTTGAGAACGTATGAATATCTAGCATGTTGCAACTTGTGAGTCATTACAAAGGTTTTCCCAGCCATTTTGGAATATAATGCTAGAGATAGCATCCTTAAAGGAGTAGCGTGCAGAGCCCTGCTGGCAAGATAGTTAAAGAATAAGCCAAAAATAAATATTACCACAAATCCTGTGGTGGTAACGATGGAACAGGTATAGATGTATATATGGATGAATTTTTATGGATTTTTATGAATATTTATGGATGAAGTATAGATGAATTTAAATTGCTGAGGTCCCAGCCCAGATGTATTTTGCAGTGAGTGATTAAAACTGACTTTGAAGGAAAGGAGGAATTTATTAAATGCTTCTGTTTTGGTTCATTCATGTTCCTGGTCCTTCTCATTTCATTTTCGCTGTAAAACATTTCTCAGGCTCAGTGAGTGCTTGTGAAACTTCGATGCCCTCTTTGTAATTAAAATGGATAAGATCACACAGACTTCTGTAATAAGTAATCTTTAAAGCAGGCTGTATCCTGAAACAGGAACTATTATGCTTTTGCTGCTTTTTTGGAAGCATTTCTTCCTTAAAAATCAAGCTCTACAGCAAACCTTGAACGTTGTTCCACTCATGAGAGTTTTACCTAAAGAAACTTGGGTCTTTGTGGCATGGCCATGCTGTCCCTGCTGGGTCTCCTTGCTCCTGGCTCATAGAGAATTTTCATGCAGATGTGTGATGCAATTGTGAAAGCTTTGGCTTGGCTGCCCAATTTCTTAGAGTTTTATTGCGTGATTATTGCATTGCTGTCACCCGTATATCTAAAATAAAAAATTACCATGCGGTTTTGAGTTCAGTATAAGCATCTATTTCATCTTTATAAACATTGAAGTGAATTTGATTTAATAACAATTTGTGACTAGTATATCAATCAAGCCTCAATATTCCAACCAAATTCTTCTATCAGCCAATGTATCCATCAACTTCTTTGATAACGTGCTTATGTTTACACGTGCTTTTATTTCTTTTTAATATGTAGACATGCTTTTATGCTGATAAAAGCTTTAATTTACACCAGCTTTTATAGGACAATTGAATCTGCATGTAGTGAGGATGTACTTAACTCTTACACGTGCAAGGACTTCATTACTACCCAGTGTGGTTATGCATGCTAACCCTAGGGCCAGTGCATGAAGCAACGCCGTTACTGCTGATTTCTTCAGCTCTTTTTCAGGCTTCTGGTTCTTAAAATGTTGTTGACAATTAAGGCAAGTTTGTTAGATGTCATTCTTTTTGAGCAGTTGATAATTGCTAGGGATAATAACTGGGAACACGTTGTCTTGAAAACGCATTTAAACGGACAGATGCTCTTGTAGTTACATAGAAGATTAAGATAATCTGTAAAAATTAATACACCAGGCTCCTTCATTGAAGGAATGCTTAAATTGTTATAATTCTATGATTGACCAAAGAAGCGTTTGCTTTAGGGAAAGATAACTTGAAATTAATGAATTTCTAATATATTCTGGGTGTGCTAATGTATAGGAACCAGAAGGAGGAATTAACCCATAGTAAACATAAGTGTACGTCTGTATGTATGTCTCTGTGTACATGTATGTGTGTTTGCATGTACATGTGTAATTTTATGCATACACTGTAGAGTAGCTTGTTTTGGACACAAGTTAAAGAAGGACTTTGCTGCCCATTTTCTGAAGAGGATTGTCTCAGAGCTCTTACTATTAAAGAAGATTGATCATTTAAAGTCAGTTCTCACCCCTGCGAGTGAATTGAGTGAATGAACTGCTAGTATTTTATACTGGAAGATCACACCTATGTTCTGGAACTAACATCCCTAGGGCTGAAGGCAAAGAATACCAGGTCAGAGAGAAAATAATGCTGAAAAGACGCTCTGAATACACACCTGTTTTAGTTGGATGTATCAGACTGCATTTATGTGCACATGAATGGGCTTCTCATGTAACAGTGAACTGGAACATTCATTTCTGGGATGAAGAGGATTTTTCCATAGTCTAGTAGCTATTCATTGCATCTATCAGTACATGCAAACAGTGAGCTCAAGACGCCTGGGACAGACGGGCTTAGGCTCTGGTGGCACATAAGCAAAGTTTATTGTTGTTACAAGCATTTTATATCTTTTTGCTAT